AATATTCTTTTTATGTCAGTTGTATTGCCTCCTGCTGTTTCATTGACTCCTATAAGTCATACATTATTCCTCTTTGCCTCATCTCGCAGCTGTTAAATTGACTTTTCCTGGGTCCTTGTTGATTTTACGAGATCCTTTCTGTCATGGTCGCTAGCTGCCCTGCTGTCTTCAGAATCTGAGATTCTATCTTCAGCTTCATTCAAGCGGTTTTGGTAGCTTTCAGTGGAAGCTTTGTTTTCCTGGAAGTCTCTTTGAATCTGGTTCATGCGTTCTGAATCCTTTCTGTTTTTTTCATTTAATGCTTCTGTCCCTTGCCTTTGTTATTCTGTTTTCTTATATGTTTCTTCTTCAGACTTTTTGAGCAGTTCCTTCATTATTATTGTCATTTCATTTTTTGCCTGAGAGATTATTTCTGATCTCATCCCTTCTATGGCCTTATGGAGTTTTTTCTTTACTTCCGTTGCAATCATTTCAGCTAATTCAGGCTTGTGTTTACCAAGTTCTCCTGTTTCAATGTCTCCTGGACTTGTTGTGAGTGAGGTGGAGTTCTGGGATTGTGTTTTAGTCCTTTGTTTTGTCATGTTCGCTACCAGATGCAGAAAGCTCAGTTTCCCTCTTCAGTAGCTGCACAGCAAAGACCACTAGTGTCGCTGGTATTCCTCTTGGTCAGGTTTGCCCCTGAGTGAACTCCAAGAAGTGCTACTTAGTCTCGGGTTTTCCAGCAGTTGTTGATTTATATCTCGTTATCCTTGGTCTGAGAAGCCGGCATTGGTGTCAGCTGATGGCCGACCATCTGATGCAGCATCCCCTTGCAGTTCAGGGTACGTGCATGGCCCAGACTCGGTTGCACTGGTTTGACAATCCCAGTCCAGTGGACCTATGTCCCCAGGCAGTTCAGGGTACAGGCAAAACCCAGACACAAACTGCAGGGTCAGCAGTTTGTGAACCACCTAATTCTGTGTCTCTAGTCAGTTCAGGACATATACAGGAACCAGATACAGGCTGGATGGGTAGCAATCACAGACTGCCCATGCCTTCAACCCCCTGGGGGGTCCCAGTGAAAATAAAGCACAGACTCAAACCGCAGGACCAGCAGGTCTTGGAGCACTCGCTCACTCGGTGCAGGATACATGTGCACAAGGAGAGGCTATACGCGCCCACCCCCCCAAGCCAGAGAAGTCCCTGGGGCTTTTGAGAGAGGATCTCTTGTCTGCCGCTGGTGCAGGGAGAGCAGAGACTCAGTCTGTAATAGTGGCGGGGTCCTGGGTCACCTGCTCTGCCCTCAGGAAATAGTTGGGAAATACCTGGTTCTCTCCACGAGTTTCAGCTGGGAACCGTGGTGGTATGAGTAAAGCACGGACTCGAACCACGGATCCAGCAGCTCCCAGAGCCGTGAATATGAGTTTTAAAACAGTTGTTATAGCTGCCACTTTTTTGACTACCTCTTGCATAAAAGCTAGAACATTTATTAAAAATTTAAATGTATGATTAAGAATTATGATTTTCTTGAAGGGAGCTTTTTAAAAGGGAAAAATATGACTCACTATCCTAATATAGGAGCTATTCATTTTTATGCTATTTTTCTGTACATATATATGTACATGTACTTGCACAGTCATAATAATACAGACACATTTTGTTATTTTTGGTAAGCAATCCTACACAGTTTTGTGATTAATTAGATTTACTAGAAACAGGTTACTTTATCTATCAGACTAATAATGTGGTTGTTGATACCTGTTGTTTCCAGAGGACTGTGGTAATTCACATTGTCTACAACATGTGAACATGGTATTGGATTGATATTTAAAGTCAGTATTCTTACTACCTGTGTTCTTTTTAAGAGTTTATTTATATTTATTTTTTATTCGTTTCAAAATTTTTTTTAAATGCCATGCTTTTTAAAAGCAATGTATTTTTCCTTCATTTCCTTTATCCTTCTTTTTCCCGTCTCCCTCCTCCCTTCCTCCTTCCCTCCCTCTTTTCCCCCTTTTTTGCTTCCTTTCCTTCCTTTTTTGTAGTGGTGGGGATTGGATCCAGGGACTTCACCCTGAGCTACATCCTCAGACCTCTTTTGTTTTTATTTTGAGATAGAGTCGTGTTAAGTTGCCCAGGCTGGGTTCAAACTATCAATCCTCCTGCCTCAAGCCTCCTAGTGTTGGGATTACAGGTATGTGCCACCATACCTGATACTTTTAAATTATGTATTCATTCAGCAAGTGCCTATTGAATATTTTTAAGTCCTAGACTATTGCCAAGAAGAAAACATTTTCTTTTCTTTGAAAGTTTGCCTATCATTGGAGAAAGTAAGCAAATAAATAGGCTACTATGCTATAGTGCCCCAAGGGAAGTAAGTACAGGGTTATTGAAGCTAATGAGAAGAACCCGACAGGATTGATTTCAAAATCCCATGTAGCGTTTTTTTCTTCTTTAGAATATCTTTCTCATTCTTAATGCTTTCTATGGAAAAATTAATCTGTGCTTGTTATGATTTGGAGTGGCTTAGGTGTTGGGCTCTTAATCCTCAATGTGATGTTTGCAGGAGACAGGGCTTAGTGGAAGGTCCCTAGGCCATTTGAGTGCTCCCCTTGTGAGGGACTAAAGGACCCTGAGTGAGTTCTCCAGAAAACAAGTTGTTCCCCTGAATGGCTCTGTGGCTGGCTTTCTTCTGAGGTAATTGCTCCCAAGTACACACTTCTGTCCTTTTGATGCTACTGCCATGCCCTCCAGAACTGAGCTAAATTAACCTCTTCATAAACAGCTTTGGTATTTTGTTATAGTAATGAAAACTGGACTAATAAAGTGCTTTACTTGTACCCTGTGTCAAACCTACGCATCAGTACACACAGTACCTTCAGCCTATGCCATAATTATCTGCAAAGTAAAAGATTTATTGACCTAGTTCAGTATTTCCGAAAATGTGTCTTAAGGAAGACTTATTTCATGAACTTCAAAGTGGAATGTAGGGGCTGGGGAAGGTCGTGAGTTCGGTTCCTGGTACCGGAGAAAAACCAAAAACCCAAAGTGGAATGTAGGGTCAAATAAACTTGAGGAATATTTACATATCAACCCTAAAAAGTGCTCTGAGAAATATTACTGTAAAGAATCCAGGGGGCTGGGGATTTAGCTCAGCAGCAAAAGCGCCTGCCTGGCAAGCGCAAGGTCGTGAGTTCAGTTCCCGGTACCGGAGAAAAACCAAAAAAAAAAAAAAAAAAAAAAAGAATCCAGGTAACAGCATTTTTTAAATGTATTCAAGGTAAAATAACCTTTTTACAAAAAAAAACATAAAACAGCCTGTGAAATTAGTATTAATTTTTGAAAAATATCAAGGTGAAATACTGAAATGCTTTGACCCTTCTCTAATTCAATATTCCATCCTACAAGATATACCTGTAGCTTTTAAAAAATAAATGACCAGGTGGAGGATGTAGCTCAGTGGCACAACACCTGCCTGGCAAGCCCGAGATTGTGAGTTCAATTCCCAGCACTAAAAAAAAAATGTGAAAAAATAAATGGTCCTGAACCAGTTGTAGTGATACAGATCTTGTATTTCCATGGTAGAAATTTATTAAAGATATTATATCATCTCTTTATATCTGTAGGATAGCCTTACTAACAGTTAATTGAGTTTAATTCTATTGGTGAAATAGCACTGTAATGTCACTTATTTAAGAGACATTGTTAGTTTTTTTTCAGGAAAAGTGCTCAAGCTCAAAACTTTCAAAAAATTTCAAATTGAGTGTTCTCTTCCCTCTTTGTTTTTCTTTCCATAGGTAAGATGAAGTTTCATAATGCTTGCCAACTGCTAACTCTAGATAGGAAGGAGTTTTAGTGGGTTTAGTATTAATATAGATAAACCCATTTAGTGGGTTATATTTAGTGGATTAATATAGATAAACCCATTTAGTGTTAAACCCATTTTAGTGGGTTTAGTGTTAATATAGATAACATTGCTAATTTTTTCATTAAACAAAGTATGTAACATAATTTTTTCTTATATTTTTAAGGTGAAATGTTCCAGTTTGAATTTAGATGATCATGCAAAGAAGAAATTAATTAAACTTGTAGGAGAACGATACTGCAAGACCACAGATGTACTCACCATCAAAACAGATAGGTAAAGAGTGAAAACTTGAACAGGCTGGGCATGTGCTTCTTTATTCCCCTGAAACTCCCTGGCAGTCCTTTTTAGAGAAATTATATTGACAATAGAAATAGTCTTTTATGAAGTCAGCTTATTTGGAGAAATTTTCTAATTCATGTTTGTAGGTTTGTGTCCACATACAACCTACTTTTTTTTTTTTTTTTTTTTTTAACTGTGGTCATTATTTATTCAGAGAAGTTTCCATGTTGTTGTTTTGGTTTGCTTTGGTGGTTTTTGTCCTTTTTTTTGGAGTTTTTCTGTTGCTAGTTTTGGGGAGGTTGGTTGGTTGGTTGTTTTAGACTGTCTCCCCATGTAGTCAAGACTGGCCTTGACCTCTCTACGTAACTTGGGCTGTCCTCAAACTCATAATTCTCCTGCTTAGCCTCTTAAGTGCTGGATTACAGGTGTGCACCACCATGTTCAGATTTTTATTATTATTTTTAATCTTGATTTTCATATATCCGTATGTAAAAAACTTGAAAAATGTTAGAAGACTTTAAAAAAGTATGCTTTGCTAGTGATTAATGCTTAAGTAGGTGACTCTTTTGTCCATAATTGGCTTTGTGATTCTAAAATCAGGCCATATCTCAGTCTGTAAAATAAAATAAGTTTTCCTTGAAACAGATTTTTATAGAACATGTAAATCTTGTAGTTCAAAATTTAAATTACTAAATTATATGTGGAACTTTATCAAGGTACTTTTGTATTTTTGTAAACAGGCAAATTTTAGAGCTAAGATAGACATTTCAAAAAATAGCATAACCATTGTATATGAGCTTATAAATTATATAATTTTCATTTGATTTAAAAAACAGTTCCATGCCTGCATGGTGGCACATGCCTGTAATCCCAGCACTCAGGAAGCTGAGACAAGAGGATCTCCCTCTGTAGTTCAGGCTGGCCTTGAACTCACTGTAACCGAGGTCGACCTCGAACTTCTGACAGTCCTTCTGCCTCAGCCTTCTAATTGCTGGGACGACAGGCATGAGCCATCACATCTAGCACAAGTGAACTAATAAATAAACAGTATAGTTAAAGTCATTTGTTAAATAGTTGCTTTATTTGATATTTAAAGACATTAGAAGCAGTTGCTGCTTTCTTTTTTATTATTTTCCTATCCTAAAAGCATAGCATGCCACCTCATATGTATGTAGAAGTTCTACCTAATTTTAGGATATTAGTTCCATTTAAATATTGCAGCAAGCACACAGCATTATATGTAGAAGAATCTGCTCTAGGGGAATAAAGATTATCCTTTAGATACTCAGGCCTTTTTATTTTTTTATTTTCATGCAGAGTCTTGTTAAGTTGCTCAGGGTCTTGTTAAATTGCTCAGGCAGGACTTGAGTTTGCTATCTTTCTACCTCCTTCAGTTCCAGGATTGCAAGTATGGCCACGCACCTGATTGTCTATTTGGGGTTTTTGGCCTTTTTTCCCCTTTGGCGACAGACTCACTGTGTTGTCCAGGCTTGCCCCTCAACTGCTGGACTCATGTGATTCTTCTGCCTCAGCTTTCCAAGTAGCTAGAACTACAAGCACACAATACCATGCCCCATTTGTCTGTTTTTCGGCTTTGTTCCCCAGCCTATTTTTAAAATGTGGTCATTAGATATGCATGTGCAAATTTTTAGCACTGAGTTGGTGAAGGGGTCTTGGATTGAATAGTTATGTTAAAAATACCATAAGGCTATTGTCATATAGAAATAACTCCGTTAGTGATGAAATCAAAATACAAAACACCATTGTTCAATATCGTTAAGTATTTCAATATGTAGACCATTTTTTTTAGTCTAAGAATTTTCCCAAAAGCAAAGAGAATTCCTGAGAATATATTATATGTTTTGCAAATTTCTTATACTGAATTTCTAGAATTGTGACTATCTTCCTCTTTCTCTTTTAAAGATGCCCTTTAAAGAGACAGAACTACGACTATGCAATGTATCTACTGACAGTATTATACCATGAATCTTGGGTAAGTGTGTGAATGTTTAATGATTTGTGATTAGTGTGATTTAGATGATGTTAACCTTCCAAAAAATTCTGGCAAGTATTCACTGACTATTTTATAGACCACCAAATAATCTTAAGATGTATGAAATATCATAGATAGTTTCTACTACTGTCAAAAATGAGGATCTTGAAATAGATTATTCACCCTATCACAGGACCATGCTGAAATATGCCTAAAATACCTTCAAACCCATACTTTGTGACTTTTGCTGGAAAATTTGGGGTGCTTCACCTTCCTCCTCTCTAGTACTGGGGATTAAATCCAGGACCCTTTGTTATACTAGGAAGCACACTACTACTGAACTACATTCCCAGCCTGTATTGTTTTATTTTGAGACAGATTCTTGCTAAATTACCCAAGCTAGCCTCAAACTTGTGATACTTCTGCATCAGTCTTCCAAGTAGTTTGGGTTTTATACATGTGCTCCCACACTTGGCTAAATTTGGTTTTTTATTTAAGTAAAAGTTCTCAATTGTGAAAGAGTAATCATCTAGATAAGTTGACAATTTATGATTTATCTTGTTTCCAAAACTCTACATAAAGGTGTTTTAAATGCCTCCTAAAATCTATGCTTAAACTGGGCACAGTGGTGCTCTCTTATAGTCCTAATACTCTGGAATGCTGAGGTAAGAGGATCACAGATTTGAACCTGAGTAACTCAGTAACTTAGTGAGACCCTGTCTCAACATAAAAAATGGAAAAAGGATCGTAACATGGCTGATAAGAGAAAGACGTGCATTGGAGAAACTCCAAGGAGAGATAACAGCTAATACAAGTATTTTGCAGTGGGGGAGGCAGTCACACCCACGTAGGGAAAATTAACCTGAAAGAGGACTCTTCTAGATAGAAACAAATATTTGAGTTGTTGAAAAAGTGGCGCCGCCACTGGTTTGCACTTTCCCCTACACCTCCACATCCACCAAACACACGACTTCTTAGAAGTGGTTCTGACAGCCCAAGGGAAGGAACAATGAGTGCTGCAGAGGCTGGCTCTGAGGAATCTCCCTGTGGAATCGCCCTCCACCCAGAAGAGGAAGCCCAGGATGGGAATAAACTGCTGTTGGGGCTCTAGGGAAACCCTGCAATCAGAGAAAAGGAGAGACAGCAACACAAAAACAGGCAAGCTCTCTCTCTTCCGTTATCCCCCCAAGCACTAGGGCACAGTGTGTTCCCACACCACCCCACCCACCACCCCCTGACAGAGGGAAGCCCCCAGCTCTAGGCAGAGAGAGGCTGATGCTGTGAACTGTGGGCAGCACCAAGCCCAGCACAGGGAGTATGGATCGCATTCCGGGAGACGCGGGAAGGTAGAGAAAATCAGTGGCCAGTCCAGAGCAGGTGCTTCCCAGATAGTTCCTCAAACTCTAAAAAAGATCCAGGGCAGTGGAAATCCTGCCCATCACCCACCAAACTGCATGGTCAAAGGAGACTCTGCCAAGGTTAGGACTGTACCAAGTACTCTGGGTTGAAGAGCAGTGCTTTCAAATCAGGTAGATAAAGGGCTGAGCTCGGATAAGATGGAGTTGCCTGCGACAGAGGGTTTCTGACATAACTGGCAGAAGGACCCTGCGGGGATTTGCCCAGCAGCAAGGGCAGCGGAGGTTGCTGGAGAACCAGTTATCCGGGCAAACTACTTTACTTCCTGTTCCTCCCAAATTAATTGAAGTGGTCAGGTCTTGGGACAGAGACAAAGGGCTGCTGTTGGCCACACCCAAATCATAGCTTGCAATCAGGAGGTGGGTCCAGGGAGTCTGATAACCCTCACCACCCCTGGAGGCTGTAAAGCAGCCCATAGGTAGCGGGAAAGCCAACTTGACAGCCTGAAAGCGCTGTGAACTGTGGGCAGCAGTTCTCTGACTACAGTCCGAAGGGAGCAGTGTGGATACTGACTGTATGGTGTGGGAGGGGCAGCTGGATCCTTGCTTGTTTCTCCTGGGTTCACTCTTTAGATTTGTATTTCTTTTCTTTGGTTCTTGCTTCCTTATCCATATTATTATTATACTATTTTTATTTTTAAATTTTTTCCTTTATTCTTTTCTCTCTTGATCTTTAGCTTTTCTCTTCTTCTTTTCTCCCCATTTTTTCTTTGCTCTTCCTCATGTTCTGTATTCCCTTGTCTTCCATACATCTTCTCCACCTTTCATAGGCTGTATATGTAGCAGCAGCCTGTATATGTATAGAAGAAAATAATACATCAGTACTTCAACTTCAGTGGTACTGATAATGCCTATATTAGGTAACCCTTAACAGAATTGTGGCTAGAAGATTCAAAGAAAACTGACTGCAGATATATTAATGGTACTGTTATGGTTTGTGTCTAAATGTGCCCCCAAAGCCTCATGCAGTCGTGGGGTGGGCTTCTAGAGTTTTGGATTGATCCACGGTCCAGTGCTGGGATTATGGGTGTGAGTGCTGCACTTCCCTGGGGCGGGAAGCCTGCATACAATATGAGACAAGGAAAGAGGCTTGTTCCTGCTGCTCCTGCCTTTCTGCTCTTACTGTTTTCCTGTCTTCCCCCGCCATGAACTGATGCCCCCCTGCCATGTGCCACTCTGCCTTGGAGCCAGCCAAGTGTGGACTGAAACCTGCACAGACTGTGAGCTGAATTAACCTTTCCTTCTTTAATTCTGCGTGTCAGGCATTCTGTCTCAGCAGTGAGAGAACAGTGACCAAGACAGATACTGACAACTCTACAACTTCCCTCAATCTCTACATTTCTCTCCCCTTGCAAGTACATTTCTCCCACCTTCAGAATTATCCTCTTAAACCCCCTCAACACTAACCCTTTACTCTAGCTATTAAACTACCTCTGAATAATACATCAGTACTTCAACTTCAGTGGTACTGACGTACTGCTTTTTACTTACTAACATCTTATCTCCCTTTTCTCTCACTGACTTACTCTCTTCCCCTCCCTTTCTCTTTCCTCTCTTCTTCCCTTCTCCCTCCACATCCCAGACTAACTGCTAATGACACTTTAGTCTGTAAGAGGCACTAAAGTATGATTGATGGTTGGATATATAGACACTGTTCTATCCAGTAGAAATTCTCTCCCTGTAAGAGAGTGACTGGGTCTGATCCAATTAAACTGAGTAGACAAATCACATCACAGGACAGTGGAAAGTAACTGAAGAGTTCATCATACCAGCAACAAAGTGTCTTCTCTCTTTTCGACCTCCTCAGCACAAAACTAAAGAGGAACATGACAAAACAAGGCAACAGAATGGCTCCAGAGCTTCCATTCATAAGATGGAAAACAATATTCCATGCACCACGACCCCGCCAAAACAAGGAGAGGTAGCAGTCTTATTCTTAGACAATGTAGACTTCAAGCTAAAACTGATCAGAAAAAGCAGAGAAGGTCACTACGTATTAGTAAGGGAATAGTTCAACAGGAAGCCATAAAAATGAATATATATGCACCAAAATGCTGGTGTAACCAGTTTAATAATCAGTTTAATAACCAGTGTTGTAAAACTCTAGTCTAGACACAAAACATCAAGTAAACACCAACACAGTCATAGTGAGGAACCTCAGTACCCCAGTTTCACGAATATATCAACTAAACAAAATTAACAAAGAAATAACAGAGTTGAACCAGAGCTTCAAACAAATGGACTTCATAGGTATCTATAGAGTGTTCTATCCTACTATAACAAAAAACGCATCCTCAGCAGCAAGCAAAACTTTCTCCAAAATAGACCACATTTTAGTCCATAAATTCTGCTTAAATACAGAAGAACAGAAATGATCTCATGTATACTGTCAGTTCATACAGCAGTAAAACTAGAAGTCATTTGCAAACAGAAACCAGCAGGACATTAAATAGCACATCCTGAGCATCAGTGGGTCAAAGAAAAAATCAAGAAAGAAATGGAACCATTTGTAGAATCAGATAATGCCAGGAAAACACACGGGAACACAATTAAAGGAACCCAGGGAGAGTTTATAGCTGTGAACACCCACATCAGAAAAGCTGAGCGAGTCCAAATATATGCTAATAATACTAAAATGAAGGTTTTTCGTAGAGTTTCAAATTCATTTATTCTCAATTTCTATATATACCTTACAGTTAATTCATCTTGGTGTGGTGGCACACCCCTATAACGCTAGCTACTAGGGAGACTGAGACAGGAGGATCACAAGTTCCAGGCCAGCCTGGGTAGCACAGGAAGACCCTGTTTTATAATAGAGTAAAATGATTAAAATCTGAGAATGAGTGAGGCAGGGTGGCACACGCCTGTAATCCCAGCACTCGGGAGGCTGAAGCAGGAGGGTTGCTACGAGTTTGAGGCCAACCTGGTCTACGTAGTAGGTTCAAGGCCAGCCTGGGCTACAAAGCGAGACCCTGTCTCAAAAAACAACAAAAAATCTGAGGGTGTAGCCAAGTGGTAGAGTGCCTACCATGTGGGAGGCCCTCGGTTTGGTTCCTGTTGCCACAAAAAAGAGAAAACAAAACAGTCACATACACGGCTATATTTAAATTTATAGAACCTGGATGCTACTCATAATGTAACATAACTGATAAAAACAAAATTTCCTAAATTTAATTTTTTTTCATGATGATTTTTAAAGCTTCCAGGAGTGATTAGGTTAAGGAAGGGTCTTGTAAAGTTGGATTTTATTCAAGTATTATATATTTCATTCATTTTTATTTTCCCAGTATCTAGTATAGCATGTGGCATATGACCTTCTGCAGATATCTTCTTTTTGTTGTTTTGTTGTTGTTTTTTTGGCTTTTTTGAGTCAGGGATTTACTATGTAGTGCAGCTGCCCTGAAATCATTATGTAGTCCAGGCTGGCTTCAAGCTCACAGCATTCCTTCTGCCTCAGCCTCCTGAGTGCTGAGATTGCAGGCATGAGCCACCACATCCAGCTCTAATAAGTGTCTTTTAAAATAGATCTAAATGGAATTTCTTCACATACTCAAATTTAGCATCAGTAGCTGGGGGAGTGGCTCA